GGCGCATTTAAAATAATTTAAAATTAATTTTAATAATTTTCTCTTAATGCTCCTTATAATCCAGTGAAACTTATGTTTGAAAATAGACTAGATTGATAATGTGCCGAGAGAGAGAGAGAGAGAGAGAATTAGTGATGAGTGATGAGTGATTAGAAACTAAATATTACCAACCAAAAAGTCACACATTTTCACACCTTTAACGCAGCTTTATCACGATCTTTGGGCTTATATTTAACTTAAAATAAACACATTTAAAGATTTAATACAAAGAGAAAACAGCAGATTACTTGTGTTTTTTTGCAGTATGTGTGTTGCCGTAGTGACGAACCATCTGAGTCGGGGAGTGACGTATTTGTTTGTGTCTTTGTCTGTGTCTTTTAGCGCTGTTTGACTAACGCTGTGAGCCAACGTTGTGGTTTTTTGCAAAAGGTTGCGGACGAGTTTATGGCTCGAGGTGTTTGCTCAAGGGCAAGGGGCAGTGAGTGTGTGTTTGCTTGAGGATGTGTGAAGAGGAAGTAGAACAGGCGGCTGCAACTGATACAAGAACATACGAGGTTACGAAAACGTAAACAAAAACACACACACACATAACACTTTGATAATTATATGTGTTTATAATTATCATTTTTAATCGCAGTATTGATCTAAAATGATTTAATAAAAGAAATAAGTTTGTCAGTTTGTGCATTAGAAAACTGCGGCGTCCAGCGGGAGCTGACGGCGCCGTAAACGTCAGCACAACAAAATTATGTTTGGAAAAATAAACGATTAAAGAAAATTCAAACACGCTCGAATCACGTGGTTAAAAGTTCTGAAAAGTCCATGTTGCAAGAACTGATTTAAACATGGGACGATTTTATTATACTGAGTCCTGGTTTAGTCCCTGGTTTAGTCCTGGTTTAGTCCCTGGTTTAGTCCTGGGTTCAGTCCTGCTTTAGTCCTGCTTTAGTCCTGCTTTAGTCCTGCTTTAGTCCAGGTCTAGTCCTGGTTCAGTCCTGCTTTAGTCCAGGTCTAGTCCTGGTTCAGTCCTGCTTTAGTCCTGCTTTAGTCCTGCTTTAGTCCTGGGTTCAGTCTTAGGTCCGGTCCTACTTCAGTCCAGCTTTAGTTTGGGTTCAGTCCTGTTTCAGTACTGCTTTAGTCCAGGTCCAGTTCTGGTTTAGTCCTGCTTTAGTCCGGGTTCAGTCTCGGTTCTGTCCTATTTCAGTCCTGGTTCAGTCCTGGTTCAGTCCTGGTTCAGTCCGGGTTCAGTCCGGGTTCAGTCCGGGTTCAGTCCGGGTTCAGTCCGGGTTCAGTCCTTCAGTCCTGCTTCAGTCCTGCTTTAGTCCTGCTTCAGTCCTGCTTTAGTCTAGGTTCAGTCCGGGTTCAGTCCGGGTTCAGTCCGGGTTCAGTCCGGGTTCTGTCCGGGTTCAGTCCTGCTTCAGTCCTGCTTCAGTCCTGCTTTAGTCCTGGTTCAGTCCTGCTTTAGTCTAGGTTCAGTCCTGGTTCAGTCCGGGTTCAGTCCGGGTTCAGTCCGGGTTCAGTCCTGCTTCAGTCCTGCTTCAGTCCTGCTTTAGTCCTGCTTCAGTCCTGCTTTAGTCCTGGTTCAGTCCTGCTTTAGTCTAGGTTCAGTCCGGGTTCAGTCCGGGTTCAGTCCGGGTTCTGTCTGGGTCCAGTCTTGCTTCAGTCTTGCTTCAGTCCTGCTTCAGTCCTGCTTCAGTCCGGGTCCAGTCCTGTTCTTATCTCTCGGTGCAGATCTGAGGGAGTCTGTGTTTCGTCATGTTTAGAGGCTGCGTGAGGACAAGAGCCAAAGACCAGAGAACGAGAAATACAGAAAAGAAACGAGGAGAAGAAGAGAAGAGCAGAGGAGAGGGTCAGAGGAGCAGAGCCAAAGACGAGAGAGGAACGAGAAATACAGCGAGGAAACGAGCAGAGGGTCAGAGGGTCAGAGGGTCAGAGGGTCAGAGGGTCAGAGGTTCAGCTAATTTTTCATTCCTGGCGCTGATATTCAAACCAGTTTTGGTATCGGTGCATCACTAATTTTAATCAAGCTTTGGTGTTTTTAATGTTATATTTATTGCTATTTTAATGTAATTTTAAATGTATTTTAGTGGTAGTTTTAAACGTATTTTTATTGTATTTTATTGGTATTTTTAAACAGATTTTAATGGTATTTTAAAATGTATTTTAATGATATTTTTAAACATATTTTAATGGTAGATTTAAATGTATTTTAATGGTAGTTTTAAACGTATTTTAATTATATTTTTAAACATATTTTAATGATATTTTAAAATGCTTTTTAATTGTATTTTATTGGTAATTTTAAATGCATTTTAATGGTATTTTTAAACATATTTTAATGCTATTTTTAAAGTTAAAAACGTGGTTTGGAGACTTCGAGGAAGAAGTGTGAGCCAGTCACAGTAACACTGTATTTTAAAGTGTGTTTTTGTAGGTTTGGATGTGTTTCTGTCACCGAAAAAATGTATAAAAACACTCTTTTACTGTGATGAGACTCGCATCTCCACAAACCCGACTCTTCCTCGTCCCGCTGACATCAGATCTATGTCCATGGAGAATTAACACTGAAAGCCATTTTTATTATTTATCGTTAAAGGTGCATTGTGAAACTTTTCCGATAGATGGTCCGTCACCTGCTTGTTTCTATGGATACGTCACCGCTCTGCCTGGAATGTTCCGCAGTGTGACTTTAAACAGCTCAACTTTACATTTATTCAATTAGAAGTGGTTTTACAGCTCAAAAATACTTGGAAAAACAGACATTCTGACTGTGAGCGGGTCGCCTCTCCACAGATCTGACCTGTAGCTCCATCTGGTTTGGTTTCCGTGAAGACAGAAAGGTTTAATGCCGCACTGTGGGACATTTGAGAGAAAGCAGGGGCAGAGGAGCGTCAGACTCTCCTCTTGTGTGGCTCGCGTACGTTTGTCGGACACTTGTCGTAAGCTGTAATTTAAAGTTCCTCAAACACACGGCTCGGGCTTCGCGACCGTTTCTTTTCTCCACCGCAGAAAAGTGCACTTCCTCTTTCTTTTCTTTCTGTACATTTCTATAGCGTGTGTTTAACGGTCCGGCCGCCCGACCGCAGCGACGCCGCCAGTGTTGCAATGTAATCCCCTACAGATTACAGATTACACACACCAAAATGTAGTTTGTAACAGAATCCATAAAGTTACTTAAAGTGAGTAATGTAATCTGAATACTTTGGATTACTTGATTTGCTGTAGAGAAACAAAGACTCGGAAATCTTCACATAAGATGTTTTGTTTGCTTAAAGAAAATAAAAAGCCCAGACTTTACTGAACCAAATTAAAAATATTATTGATAGAAGACGAGGAGACACGGTCCACGCGGCAGGATTTAGTGCAGTTAAATCTGTTTTAGTCCTGGTTTAGTCCTGGTTTAGTCCTGGTTTAGTCCTGGTTTAGTCCTGGTTTAGTCCTGGTTTAGTCCTGTTTTAGTCCTGGTTTAGTCCTGGTTTAGTCTTGGTTTAGTCCTGGTTTAGTCTTGGTTTAGTCCTGGTTTAGTCCTGGTTTAGTCCTGGTTTAGTCCGTGGGTTCTGTAGAGTCGGCGAGTGGTTGTAGAGTCCGTGTGTCGTTCGTTCATTCGTTTTTCAATATAAAACAAAAAAACAAGTTTTCTTCATTATTTGTCTCCAAAACCAAAATGAAAAAACAGATAATGATTTGTTTTTTCAGTTTTTGATTTTGTGTTTAAATGAAAAATGGAAAAAAACGGATAACGGCCATTTCCTGTTTACGTGACTTCAGTGACTGTGATGACGAACTTTTGCACCACATACGGACTGAACCAGGACTGATCCAGGTCCGGGATCAGACCGGGACCAGACCGGAGGCTCAGAGCCCACGGCAGGGTCGGAGTCAAAGCTTGGAGTCCGGTCTAGTCCCGGTCTGGTCCCGGACCTGGACCAGTCCTGGTTCAGTCCATATGCAGTGCAAAACTCCGACATCACAGTCACAGGAGTCACTTAAATGGAAACTGGCCATTATCAGTTTTTTTTCCATTTTTCATTTAAACACAAAATCAAAAACTGAAAAAACAAATCATTATCTGTTTTTTCATTTTGGTTTTGGAGACAAATAATGAAGAAAACTGTTGTTTTTTTCATTTTCTTATTTTTTGTTTTATATTGAAAAACGAATGAACGAACGACACATGGATTGGGGATATCGATACGTGTATCGATACACGGGTCACGATATCAGTTCAGTTTTGTTACGTTTTAAGACGAAAAAAAACCTAATCCCTGGTGGTTGTAAAGTCTCCAGACGGTGTTGTCCAGCTCATTTTTCAATACTGGGGCTATCAATTTTAACTGAGCTTTTTGTTTTTTAATGTTATATTAATGATATTTTAATGGTATTTTTACATTTAAAAACATGTGCTTTGGAAACGTAGAGGAAGAACTGAGCCACAGTCTGAAACTTTGTATTTTAAAGTGTGTTTTTGTAGGTTTGGATGTGTTTATGTCACTAAAAAAATGTAAAAAAACACTCTTTTACTGTGATGAGGCTCGCATCTCCACAAACCCGACTCTTACTCGTCCTGCGTATTTTTATGGAAATGACATCAAAACTATTTCCATGGAGGATTAAAATTGCAAGCCAGGTTCATCTTTTATTATTAAAGGTGCACTGTGTAACTTTTCCGATGGAGGAAAATTTTCTGTGCTTGTTTCTATGGAGACGTCGTCGCTCTGCCTGGAATGTTCCGCAGTGAGACATTAAACAGCTCGACTTTACATTTATTCAATTACAGGTGGTTTTAAAGCTCAAAAATACAAAGAAAAACAGACATTCTGATTGTTAGCGGGGTCGCCTCTCCACAGATCTGACCTGTAACTTGGTCTGGGTTGAAGATGGAAAGGTTTAATGCCGCACTGTGGAACATTCCAGACAAAGGAATAATATTAACACAGAAAAATGGAGTTAAAAAGTGTGATTTGTCGAGTCTCTAACTTAACTTGTCTTTTTGTTTCTAGACCCGATGGAGCGGTGGTCCGTCCTCCGCCGGAGCGTCGAGGGGCCTGATCCATGTCCGCGCCCCGGCCAACAGCGCTGATTCCTGGGTACCTCCGCCTCCGCCGCCCCTGACCCCGGGCCTCCCCGCTCCCTCTTCCGCCTCCTCCGTACAATGTCCGTCAGCATGATCGGGAAACTCAAGCAGAACCTCCTCGTCGCCTGCCTGGTCATCAGCTCCGTCACCGTCTTCTACCTGGGACGTCACGCCATGGAGTGCCACCACAGGATCGAGGAACGCGGCCAGAGCGGCGTCGCCATCCCGCTGTCCGCCGTCGGGGGCAGCATGCGGACCACGTTGCGGACGGGCCAGAACCTCAGCACGCCGTTCCTCTACAGCAAGGACATGCCCCTGGTGTTCATCGGAGGAGTGCCGAGGAGCGGGACGACGCTGATGCGCGCCATGCTGGACGCGCACCCCGAGATCCGCTGCGGGGAAGAGACCAGAGTCATCCCGCGGATTTTGGCGATGAAGCAGATGTGGAGCCGGTCGGGGAGGGAGAAAATGCGACTGGACGAGGCGGGCGTGACGGACGAGGTTCTGGACGCCGCCATGCAAGCGTTTTTGCTGGAGATAATCGTCAAACACGGAGAACCGGCGAACTTCCTGTGCAACAAGGACCCGTTCGCGCTGAAGTCGCTGTCGTATTTAGCCAAAATTTTTCCAAAGGCGAAGTTCGTGCTCATGATCCGCGACGGGAGGGCGTCCGTGCATTCCATGATCTCCCGGAAAGTGACGATCGCGGGGTTCGACTTGGGGAGTTACCGGGACTGTCTGACCAAATGGAATCGCGCCATAGAGACGATGTACACGCAGTGTCTGGACGTGTCCGACAAGTGTCTGCCGGTGCATTACGAGCAGCTCGTCCTGCACCCGGAGAAGTGGATGAGGACTTTGCTCAAGTTCCTGGAGATTCCCTGGAACGACGCGGTTCTGCATCACGAGGAGCTCATCGGGAAGGCCGGCGGCGTGTCCCTGTCCAAGTGAGTACTCGAGTAGAGTCCGGGGTTAGACCTGGTTTAGAGGTTGTTTTCATCTTACTTTTGGACCTGATTTAGTTCTGGTTGCAGACCTGGTTTAGTCCTGATTTTAGTCCCAGGATTTGTCCAGGTTATAGTCCTGGTTTAGTCCTGGTTTGGTCCTGGTTTGTGTCTGGTTTTGTCCCTGATTTAGTCTTGGTTTAGTTCTGGTTGTAGTCCTGGTTTAGTCCTGATTTTAGTCCCAGGATTTGTCCAGGTTATAGTCCTGGTTTGGTCCTGGTTTGTGTCTGGTTTTGTCCCTGATTTAGTGTTGGTTTAGTTCTGGTTGTAGTCCTGGTTTAGTCCTGATTTTAGTCCCAGGATTTGTCCAGGTTATAGTCCTGGTTTAGTCCTGGTTTAGTTCTGGTTGTAGTCTTGATTTAGTCCCTGGTTTTATCCTGGTTTTGTCGGGGTTTTGTCCTGGTTTAGTTTGATTTAGTTCTTGTTGCAGACCTGGTTTAGTCCTGATTTTAGTCCCAAAGTTTGTCCAGATTATAGTCCTGGTTTAGTTTGTGTCTGGTTTTGTTACTGGTTACTGGTTTTGATTTAGTTCTAGTTGCAGACTTGGTTTGGTCCTGGTTTGTGTCTGGTTTAGTCCTGGTTTTTGGCTTGGTTTAGTTTGATCTAATTTTGGTAATAGTTCTGGTTTTAGTCCTGGTTTAGTTCTGGTTTTATCCTGGTTTTGTCCGGGTTTTGTCCTGGTTTTTTTAATTTAGTTCTGGTTGCAGACCTGGTTTAGTCCTAATTTTAGTCCCAGGGTTTGTCCAGGTTTTAGTCCTGGTTTAGTTCTGGTTTGGTCCTGGTTTAGACTTTGTTTAGTTCTAGTTGCAGACTTGGTTTGGTCCTAGTTTGTGTCTAGTTTAGTCCTGGTTTAGACTTGGTTTAGTTTGATCTAATTTTGGTAATAGTTCTGGTTGTAGTCTTGATTTAGTCCCCGGTTTAGTCCCTGGTTTTATCCTGGTTTTGTCCGGGTTTTGTCCTGGTTTAGTTTGATTTAGTTCCTTGTTTTGTCCTGGTTTAGTTTTTTAGATTTACTTCTAGTTGCAGACCTGGTTTAGTCCTGGTTTAGTCCTGGTTGTAGTTCTGGTTAAGTTCCTTGTTTTGTACTGGTTTAGTTTAATTTTGTTCTAGTTGCAGACCTGGTTTTAGTCCCAGGGTTTGTCCAGGTTATAGTCCTGGTTTAGCTCTGGTTTGTGTCTGGATTTGTCCTGGTTTAGACTTGGTTTAGTTTGATTTAGTTTTAGTAATAGTCCTGGTTTAGTTGTGGTTGTAAACTTGGTTTTGTCCCTGGTTTTGTCCCTGGTTTTGTCCCTGGTTTAGTCTTGGTTTTGTCCCTGGTTTTGTCCCTGGTTTAGTCCCTGGTTTAGTCCCTGGTTTTGTCCCTGGTTTAGTCCCTGGTTTTGTCCCTGGTTTAGTCTTGGTTTTGTCCCTGGTTTAGTCCCTGGTTTTGTCCCTGGTTTAGTCTTGGTTTTGTCTGGTTTTGTCCCTGGTTTAGTCCTGGTTTAGTCTTGGTTTTGTCCGGTTTTGTCCCTGGTTTTAGTCTTGTTTTGTCCCTGGTTTAGTCCTGGTTTTGTCCCTGGTTTTGTCCTGGTTTTAGTCCCTGGTTTGTCCCTGTTTAGTCCTGTTTTCCCTGGTTTAGTCTTGGTTTTTGTCCCTGGTTTAGTCTTGGTTTTGTCCCTGGTTTTGTCCCTGGTTTAGTCCCTGGTTTTGTCCCTGGTTTGTCCCTGGTTTAGTCCCTGGTTTAGTCTTGGTTTAATCCTGATTTAGTTTGATTTCGTTCTCCTTGCAGATTTGGTTTGGTCCTGCTTTGTGTCTGGTTCTGTCCTGGTTTAGACTTGATTTAGTTTGATGTAGTTTTGGTTGTAATCCTTTTTTTAGTCCAGGTTTAGTTCTGGTTGTAGACTTGGTTTAGACCCTGGTTTAGTCCTTAATTAGACCTGGTTTAGTTCTGTTAGTCTTGGTTGTAACTCTGATTTAATCCTGGTTCAGTCGTGATTTTTAGTCGGTTTTAGATCTGGTTTTAGTCCTGGTTTAATCTTGTTTTACTTCTGGTTCAGTCCTGTTTTAGTCTTGGATAAGTCCTGGTTTAGTCCTGGTTTAGTCCTGCTTTAATCCTGCTTTAGTCCTGGTTTTAGTCCTGTTTTAGTCCTGGTTTAGTCCTGGTTTAGTCCTGGTTTAGTCCTGGTTCAGTCCTGGTTCAGTCCTGGTTTTAGTCCTGGTTCAGTCCTGGTTCAGTCCTGGTTTAGTCCCTGGTTTAGTCCTGGTTTAGTCCTGGTCCTGGTTCAGTCCTGGTTTAGTCCTGGTTTAGTCCTGCTTTAGTCCTGGTTTTAGTCCTGGTTCAGTCCTGCTTTAGTCCTGGTTTAGTCCTGGTTTAGTCCTGTTTTAGTCCTGTTTTAGTCCTGGTTCAGTCCTGGTTCAGTCCTGGTTCAGTCCTGGTTCAGTCCTGTTTTAGTCCTGGTTTAGTCCTGGTTTAGTCCTACTTTTAGTCCTGTTTAGTCCTGTTTAGTCCTGGTTCAGTCCTGGTTTAGTCCTGGTTTAGTCCTGGTTTAGTCCTGGTTCAGTCCTGGTTTAGTCCTGGTTCAGTCCTGGTTCAGTCCTGGTTTCAGTCCTGGTTTAGTCCTGGTTTAGTCCTGGTTCAGTCCTGGTTTAAGTCCTGGTTTTTAGTCCTGGTTTAGTCCTGCTTTAGTCCTGGTTCAGTCCTGGTCCTGGTTTTAGTCCTGGTTTAGTCCTGGTTCAGTCCTGGTTCAGTCCTGGTTCCTGGTTCAGTCCTGGTTTAGTCCTGGTTTAGTCCTGGTTTGTTAGTCCTGGTTCAGTCCTGGTTTAGTCCTGGTTTAGTCCTGGTTTAGTCCTGGTTGTCCTGGTTCAGTCCTGGTTTAGTCCTGGTTTAGTCAGTCCTGGTTTAGTCCTGGTTTAGTCCTGGTTCAGTCCTGGTTTTAGTCCTGGTTTAGTCCTGGTTGGTTTAGTCCTGGTTTAGTCCTGGTTTAGTCCTGGTTCAGTCCTGGTTCAGTCCTGGTTCAGTCCTGGTTTTAGTCCTGGTTCCTGGTTCAGTCCTGGTTTAGTCCTGGTTTAGTCCTGGTTTAGTCCTGGTTTAGTCCTGGTTTAGTCCTGGTTTAGTCCTGGTTTAGTCCTGGTTCAGTCCTGGTTTAGTCCTGGTTTAGTCCTGGTTTAGTCTGGTTCAGTCCTGGTTTCAGTCCTGGTTTAGTCCTGGTTCAGTCCTGGTTTAGTCCTGGTTTAGTCCTGGTTCAGTCCTGGTTTAGTCCTGGTTCAGTCCTGGTTCAGTCCTGGTTTAGTCCTGGTTCAGTCCTGGTTTAGTCCTGGTTCAGTCCTGGTTTAGTCCTGTTTTAGTCCTGTTTTAGTCCTGGTTTAGTCCTGGTTTAGTCCTGGTTTAGTCCTGGTTTAGTCCTGGTTTAGTCCTGGTTCAGTCCTGGTTTCCTGGTTTAGTCCTGGTTCAGTCCTGGTTCAGTCCTGGTTTAGTCCTGGTTTAGTCCTGGTTTAGTCCTGGTTTCAGTCCTGGTTCAGTCCTGGTTTAGTCCTGGTTCAGTCCTGGTTCAGTCCTGGTTTAGTCCTGGTTCAGTCCTGGTTTCAGTCCTGGTTCCCTGGTTCAGTCCTGGTTTAGTCCTGGTTTAGTCCTGGTTTAGTCCTGGTTCAGTCCTGGTTTCAGTCCTGGTTCAGTCCTGGTTCCTGGTTCAGTCCTGGTTAGTCCTGGTTTAGTCCTGGTTTAGTCCTGGTTTAGTCCTGGTTCAGTCCTGGTTCAGTCCTGGTTAGTTGGTTCCTGGTTTAGTCCTGGTTCAGTCCTGGTTTAGTCCTGTTCAGTCCTGGTTTAGTCCTGGTTTAGTCCTGGTTTAGTCCTGGTTCAGTCCTGGTTTCAGTCCTGGTTTAGTCCTGGTTCAGTCCTGGTTTAGTCCTGTTCAGTCCTTTTCAGTCCTGGTTTGTCCTGGTTCAG